TGTGGCCGCGGATGCGGCCCATTTCCCAGGAGGGCTAAGGACCAGCTTCCCCCTCAGAGTCAGCAGCCAACCTCCCATGCCCTGTCCCTTCCCCTGACCAGCAGGCCCTGACTGGCCCGGACATAACCGGCCCTGATCGCTGGCCAGGCCTAGGGACCCCACCCATGCACGAATTTGTGCACTGGGACTCTAGTTCTATATCTATAAACGGCTAAGTTGATTCACGCATGTGCGATACATATAAAGCTCTGGATCTGGAGAGCATTATGCTAAGGGAAATAAGCCAGTCAATGAAGGAAAAATACCACATGATCTCACTCTTTTATGGATAATAAAGACCATTATAAACTTATGAACAAAAATATATACAGAGGCAGAGCTGCCTCAAACAGACTGTCCAACTACAGCGGGAAGGCCGGGGAGGGTTGGGGGGCTGGAGGGTGGGGGGTAAGAGATCAACTGAAGGACTTGTATGCATGCATATAAGTATAACCAATGGACATAATGCACTGGGGGGGTAGGGGAAGTCAGGGGATTGTCAAGGGCGGGGAAAAAAAGGAGACATATGTAATACTCTTTGTAATACTTTAAGCAATAAAACAATTTAAAAAAACCTATTAAATCAGATTTTGTAAGTGGAATGACAGGTTAGTGCCTACCAATCAGGCTTAAAGTCCATTGGGGTAATGCAAAATTCCCTACAATGAAATGAGCTATGCTGAATTACGCAGGGAGAAAATAGGGTACACATTCCCCACCTAATCAAAATTTCTGCATAATAAAAAAATTCTCTCCTCCCTACCACAATCCATTTACCTGAAGTAGTATTGATATATATAATCTAAGCACAATCTAATACAAGGGCCCAGAGACTTTTTTGGAAGTTGCAGCCACAACATCCTAATATTTCTAAACAAACATTCAGAGCAAAAACAAGATATCTGGCCATCCCCAACTTAATAGAAATGTGTATTCTTGCAATTTACATTTTGAAAACTTACAATGTATTTTCCTATAGAAATACTATTATAAATAGTTAGATTCTAAGGGCAACCCACAAATCTCTTCAACTCATAATAAACTAAACAGAATACTCATGACAAATTATTTAATAAGCACTCAGCAATGTTTCATGGGAAAACACTTTCAAAGTTTCAGTTTAATCCACCAGAAACATCTCTTCCCCAGTAATACAACCTAGACTCAACCTTCCTTGTCCACTGAAAATGAGCTCCTTCAGCCACAGAGCTGGAAAGGGTGCTGTTGTAGGGCTTGGAGGAGACAAGTTACACTCTACCTGCAGGACTTACCTCAGCTAGATGACTACTAAGGGAGCCATTTCTTGCCCATGGACCCCAAGTCCCTCTCCATAGCACCTTTGAGTAAATGCTTTCTTTCCTTCTAGCCCCAAGAAGTTCCCTGCACACTCTCCTGGGTGCACGCACGCGCGCACAGACATACACACACACATTCTGAAAGCAACATGAAGTAGAAAAACATGACTCTGAAGTTAGACAAACATGGATTTATTTAATTGTTTTTAAGTACTAGAGGCCCGATGCACAAAATTCGTGCAAGGGCTCAGCCCCTGCCGCCACAGCAACTGCCTCTGCCTTGGCCTCAGCTGCTGTGGCTTCATCCGGAAG